TGACAGGTTTTAGTGCAATGCAAAGTCGGAACCGTCCCGCACCGGCAGTCTCCCAGGCGGCGCGTAACGGCCGCCGCCGGCCGCCGCGCCGCCGCTCTGGCAGGGTGTTTCACTTTATACCCCTGTTGTTCGAAAAGTTGTGGACCGATTTACTTCATTTTTACATGACAAGCTCCGTCGTTCAATTTTTAGCAGGTACCGAAAAGTTGACGTCAATTGCACGATCCGCCGCCCATATTGCGGTACTGCTATCTGTTGACAAGGCTAGAGAACTAAAGCCGTGCGGCTATTTCCACTTCTGACACACCATGCCAGTCTTACTTTGCATGCTTTAAACTTTATGTTAGCAATGGTCTGACATAATAAAACGAGCTTGGTTATATAATATAATAAAACGAGCCTGGTTCAAATTTATCACGAATTTTCTGTATGTACCGTATTTTGCTTGAAGAGGGCAAAAACTCATTATCACCGCTCATTGCCAAAGAAGACTGAGGAAGATTTTGGAAATCACGTGGGTTGTATAACGAAATGGCTGCTACACTGAAAACAATTTAACCCAAGGCCCGCGAGTAAACCGGTGTTTTGCAGGTACCCCTATCCGCAACCATTTTTAACCACCCTCCCAGGAGTACAGTAAGGTCCCATTGCAGTGTAGTCGTCCCTGCTCTCAGCGGACTTGTTCGCTGACAGCGGTTATATCCGCTCAGAGCAAGTACGACTACACCGCAATGGGACCTAGCACTACTCCTGGGAGGGTGGTTAAAAATGGTTGCGGATAGGGGTACCCGTAAAACACCGGTTTACTCGCCAGCCTTGGGTTAAATTGTTTTCAGTGTACCAGTCTACTCGGTCAAATGTGTAAAAATGCGCAACACTTCTTCAAAACTACGATGGCCCATTCCTCCCAGGGGCTCATACCTCCCGGGTCTCCCCTACAACTAGTGGCTTCAACATAGCATGCACATTTTGGCAGGCACAATCTCCATGTATTTTTAGGCATCTAGCACAAATCGAAAATGAGGATTTTAGCGGTTGGAAATTCTTGACCAGGGCCCGTATTCACGTCGGAATTTTTCGTAAGATTTATCTTACGATCGCTCTTTGTCGTACGATAATTTGGTATTCACGTTGGCATCGCAAACAGTTAAGATTTATCTTACGATCAAAATTTTGGTCGTAGACATTTGTCGTACGATCGATCGTAAGTGCGATTCACGTCGGGACATCTTAACTCGAATCTTAAGATGATCGTAAGACCTTAATGATGAAGGTATTGGGAAGATACGACTACTCACTGAGCTGTCGTAAGACGTCACCTATGCTTATGAATTGTATATTTAGGTATTGAAATTGTTGTTTATGATTTTTTTCTTGCGAGCGAGCACGAAAAAGAGCTTTCAATGTAACGGGAAAATATCAGTATGAGTGGTAGGTACAGCTCGGACCGGCCCGCCCTATTACGCTTTTGAGAAGCTTTTATCTCGGCCACCGTTGGGCCGATTGAACCACGGTCTTTTTTGTTTGGTAGCCCCATCCCTCCTACCTCGTAATTGACTACTCTTGATGCACCTGGGTGATCGCCGTGTCATGTGGCTCTTGCGAAGCCAAGGGAGTCACCTCAGAACCCAAAGTCGTTCTGCTGAATTTACGTTTTTGAGAGGATTATGTCTGAGTAAGCACAGGATCGATTTACTAGGAAATATCTTTGTAGGGTATATTCATCCATTCTGCCAAGGACACGACTTTTCTCGATGCATGTGGGTGACCATGGCTGCACGTGCCACGTGCATAATAAAGAAATGTCATGTTTGTAGCAATTACAATAACTATGTAATTATCGTGCCCATTGCGCTGAAACTTGGCATGCTGGTAGGCACTCATCGGGCAATGCATTTCCATGTGTCACGTTAGGGGTACTACTGCACGTGCGCACGTGCAGTGGTCGCTCCTAGATCTCGGGAACGGCTGGACCAATTGCGCTCAAAATTGGCACACCGGTAGGGACCGCTTAGTAGCGTGCCGGGCAAAAGTCGTTTGGGACCCCGTTTGCACGTGCGCACGTGCAGGAGGCCGCTTCCATATATAGAGAACGGCGAGGCCGATTGCGCCCAAATTTGGTACACCTTTAGGAACCACTTAAGAGGGTGCCGAGCAAATGTCATTTGTGACTCCGGTTGCACGTGCGCGCGCGCAGCAGGCCGCTTCCGGATCTCGAGGACGGCTAGGCCGATTGCGATTAAATTTGGTGCGCCTTTAGGAATCGCTCAGGAGGTTGTCGAGCAAAAGTCAATTGTGACCCTGTTCGCACTTCGCACGTGTGCACGCGCAATAGGCCGCATCCGGATCTCGAGAACGGCTGCACTGTAAACTTTTTTACTCCCGGCTGGGGGGTAAACCCGCTGTTACGGAGTAGCGTACTCCGCAGACGTTTTTTACACCCCACCGTGGAGTAACTCTTCTAGGATACCCTCGCACAGGGAGTGAACCCTTTCGATTTTACCCCCGATCCAGGGGTAAACCCTTTTAATTACACTCGCACAGAGGGTAGACCCTTTTCATTTACCCTCTGACAGGGAGTTACCCCCGGCGTTAACCCTCTGACAAGGAGTTACCCCCGTTCTTTACCCTTTATAATGGGGTAAAAATTACCCAACGACAGGGGGTAAATGGAAAGGGTAACCCTTTGTCGTGGAGAAAAACGTCTGCGTAGGGGATCGAGAACGAGAAAGACAAAGGCAAAGAACTACCGAAAGAAGAAGAGATAGAGGACAGAGGGAGAGAGAGAGAGAGAGAGAGAGAGAGAGAGAGAGAGAGGGAGAGAGAGTTTCAATTGGATACAATACACATTAAAAATCTCACCTCTCGTCCTTCCAACGGCCCCTCAGCATCTTCCATCTTCTTGGCAAGCTTTTGTATTTTGAAATGATGGGATGAATTTGTCGTGCTTATTGATCGATCAGCCTTCATTTTTCCTTTGCTTAGATGCTATTGAATCACTGCTGCACCGCTTTTTGTCGCACCAACACGCTGAGCACTGCTGCACAACCAACGCCTCTCGAGACACAATATGGCGTGGCGACGCAGTTCCTCCCGCGCATGCGCGGCAAAATTACTCCCGAAACGAGGGTCGGGTACCCGCTCGACCTGAACCCGTGACCCTCGAATCAAGAGTAAAAACGACAGATCCGCTTTTTGAGGGTTATATACCCCAGATCAGGGAGTACGTGACCCTCGAATCGAGAGTAGTTAAAGGGAGGTGAGCAAGTTGGAGAGTAATTGGAAGGGTAAATTGCAGAACTCTGACTGGTAACTCCCGTTTCAAGGGTGACCCCTAAAGATATACCCCCGTTTCGAGGGTTTACCCCCCAGCCGGGAGTAAAAAAGTTTTCAGTGTGGGCCGATTGCGCTTAAATTTGGTACACCTTTAGGAATCGCTTAGGAGGGTGCCGAGCAAAAGTCAATTGTGACGCAATTGGCACGTGCGCACGCGCAAAATTGCACACGCGCTCAAATTTGGTGCACCGTTGGGGACCGACTAGTAGGGTGGTTCGTGCTTAAAAGGACCCTCCCTGCTCCACCTTCAAAAAAGTTAATGAATTGGCATACAAGTAGTGTTGCATGGTACCTAGAGAGTGAGCAAAAATGAATATCAACCAAATTTCATTGAAAAATATTAAAGGAAATAGTTCACTTTTAACATGGGGTTTTGAACTGGAATAGCAGTTTCGTAGCTTGAGCTGAGACTAGCACAAATCAGGAGCTTTTACGGCTCAACGATCACCCTAGACGAAGATCTTCCATTTCTCGTTCCGAGGAATGCGTGCCTTGCACAGGAATGCAGCCACGTCATCGTCAGCCAATCAGCATGCTGCTTACAGCCAATGCATACAGCCAATGTCGGGTCAAGGTCAGGTCAAACACCTGAAATCGGGCTTTCAGTAGCATGGACTTCAGGACTTCGCAATGGGCGCCTCTCGTCTTAAACTGTCAAAACGGTACACAATCCTTCATATAAGGCCTGGAGTACTTTGGATGAGGTCACCAAAGGTCAATGACCTTCAGGTGACCTTGACACCCACCCTAATGCATGGGAGCAACATCAAATCACATGTTTGAACGTTTGAAACCACGAAAAGCTTGCAAACGCGCGGCTAATGCGAGCCGACATACGCCGAATCGCGATTCCGGCCAAACATGGTCTCGGAAAAGAAGTCACAGGTCAAAGGTCATTTGGGTCAGGGTCATAAAATTTTCAGGGTAGGTGTAAAATTGATCAATGCGAGGGTACTGAAAGTTTCGTCGCGATCGGCCGCTTTTTACGCGAGTTATTCGCGAAAAACTTTAGGGGGGTTGCATCAACCCCCCCCCCCTGTGCCGGCGAGGGTTAAAATGCATATTTTATCGATTTATTCTTCATATGATCATTTGTAATATAATAATATAGTTTCCATAATACCTAATGGTAAAATAATTTCCATAATAACTTTGAAGCATACTAAATCTGTGGTACCTTTATAATGTTAAGAATAGCTCACTAATAACTGTTTGAATATATTTCGTTTGCTGTATCATTTGACGGAGGATCCATTTTCTATGTCGTCCCGGAATATGCTGCTAAAAATCAAATCTTCGGAACTGCTACGACATCTTAAAGTTGGGTCGTAGGATGAATCCTAGGACTTTTGACATGAATACCAAATTATCTTAAGATTGTCAACGTGAATTAGAAGTATCCTAAATATCCAGACTGATCGTACGATAAAAAGTTAAGATGGTCAACATGAATACCAAATCGATCGTACGATGAAAACTGATCGTAAGATGTCGACGTGAATACGGGCCCAGACGCAGAACTTGCCGAAACTCACGCAACAGTTTCGATAGTTCTTCTGAAGCCGGATATGTTTGGGAAAAATGAACTATAACGGTATTTCGGGATCTGGCCGCCTATCTGGCCTGTGCGCACAGCGCTGTCCGATTGGGACAAGGCGGTGAGATCCCTCAGCTCGAGTTTATTTCATCAACATGGTATGGTCAGCCCAACAGCATAGACAGGTGATATCGGTCAAACGTAACACGGCGGCGTCCCAGTTGGGAGGGCGCACCGCCGCCGTCGGCACGCAGAGGCGCGCGCGCCGCGAGACTGACGGCGGCCGGCCGGGCGCACACGGAGGGAACCAGCGGCGCACACGGAGGGAGCCAACGGTCCAACCACGTATGGCGACGACGGGGCGGCCAAGGACACTCGGCCAACGTTCAGACCTGGAGACCCGCGGACCGCGCATGATCTGAACAGACTGTGCGGTGAACCGGGCCGCTCCGAGGCGGCGCTGGGGCCGCTGTGTACCGCGCTGGACGGACACTGTCCACGGCACCTCGACAAAGGCACCCGGGAAATCGCCGTCACAGCGCGACCGGAGACCACCGAACGCCGGCCGACGCGCCAGCAGCGGCGGCGCCGGCGGCGACCGGCTCCGGCCGGCGCCAGATGGAACTAAAGTCTAAACCGCGCAGGCGGACACTGCGGGCTCCGCTGCAGACGGCGCCAGCGGGCGCCGACGGAAAACTTTGTACAGTTAGCGGCCGGCGTCAGCTCACTGAGCAGCCAGCTATGTACAATTGGCGGGGACATAAGCAGCACGGTCATATCCACCACACGGGTTGTTAACTAAATCACAAACACATCACATCGCTATTTGCATATTCATTTGAGTCGTTGCGTTGAGGTATTCTATCAGTCATTCTTAATTTTGATGCTACCGATATATTAAACAGTCAAGTATTCGATCAAGGCTATGACGGTACAATCGCGACTGCATGAAAACCCCAACTAGGCGGTATCTATTTCAGAAACTACACCAAACACATTGTGTGCCATAGTTCGTCCAGTGAGATCTCAGGAGTTCAGTTAGCTACCCGATGAAATTGCGGACATGCTCCAAAATGCGTAGTTCATTCAGCATTCAAACCGATCGCGGGAGAGCCACACTGCACAACGATCCAACTTATAACTCAAACTGTCCAAGGCGACCACAGCGTAATCTCCGGGAGCGCTGAGGCACTGAACCGGCAGCCCTAAAACCACGCCTGCGTTGGGCTCCCCCTAGCGAAACTGTGGAGGATCATTCATAACGTCTCTTCACTGGCAAAAGTAGCGAGCGGCGCGTGCACCTGATGACTGGCGGGCCGCGCGCGGCAAGACATTGAGCACGGCAGTGGTCGGTGCTGCAGCCGCTCCCTGGTCGCCGGCCCGGCGAGCTGGCGGCTCACGGACGGCCAGAGGCGGGCCGCGGCCGGGCCGTCGCCCCTCGGACCGTTCCGAACTCAAACGGTCGCCCGATCAGCGTCCAGATGTAGTGGCGTCGGGCCGGCAGCGCGCCGGGTGCCTGCGGCCGGCCGCGGCGGTGTCAGTCAGCCGGCTCTCAGGCGGCCCATAGCCAAATGGCAGCTGAATGGACCAGCAACAAGGGCCAACCACACCAAGGAAGATGAAATGGACGATAACAACTGTCACGGTAAATAGCATGGATTGAAAAATAAAACTATTCGAAAAGGGAATGATTCACCAACACTCTATTTGAAGCTCCACCCCAAGGTACGTAACTACGTCCCACAGAGCCCCATCCTCGGACAGCGCGGTCCTCTCGGTCCGTGGAGAGCGCCCCACTGGCCCGGCCAGGTCAGACTAGTCGGCGGGCGGCCCACTCACCGAGCGGGAGAGGCTCAGGGAGTCGGCGATCCCCACTCACCGAGCGGGAGAGGCTCAGGGAGTCGGCGGGCGGCCCACTCACCGAGCGGGAGAGGCTCAGGGAGTCGGCGGGCGGCCCACTCACCGAGCGGGAGAGGCTCAGGGAGTCGGCGAGCTGGCGCAGCTCCTGGCCCACGTCCAGCTCCACGGGCAGGCTGGACGCCAGCGCCGGGCCACGCGCCTCCTCCGGCAGCTCGGCTGCGCCCACACACACATGGTAGCCGCGTCAGTCAGCAGCACGAGGCAGTCGAAAAAAAAACAACACACACTGGCGGATCCAGACCTGCGTTTAGGGGCGGGGAGGGGGGCAACTCATGACAGGAGTCAAACCTAGGGTACCCCAAATCCTGTTTTCTCATCGGATTTAGGCCACTTATTTTTGTCACAGCCCTGAAACGATACTTTTTAACTAAAACAAAATGGTAGCCCACCCGACCCGTGCTTTATATTACTTTAAAAACACTTAAAATTGCTTTTGTTGACCAGTTAGCCCACTCCGGCCGGGTCGGTACTTGGCGCAGCCTTCACGGGCCGGGAGGTGTCTGTTGGACACCCCTGCCGTTTGGCCCCTGATCAAGCTAGAGCAGGGGTTGGCAACATTTTTGGGTGCGGGCCGGATATGAGCTTAGAAACAGCCGGTGGGCCGGAGCATAGTAAGGTTCCAATGTGCTTCAATGACGCACAAATTTTGAAAAATATGACAGCGGTACTTATGAATTTTTAGTTGTGACAGCTCACATGTCTTGATTTTTGTCATAGGATGAAACGTACCTGTTTCACACAGAATTTGGTTGAAGAAAAGGCGAGTCTGAGAAGATAAGGAATAGTTTTATTTATCCATTCTATTAGCTGATCAGATACCTCCCAACCAGCAAAATTGGTTTGTATCTGGTTTTACTCTGGCTGGCTCCAGCATTTTCACTCTGGCCGAAGAACTGGCAAGGTCTGCCTCAGCCAACAAAATAAGTCTGGGCCGTATTTGGTTTTACTCTGGCTAGCTGCGGCATCTTACTCCGGCCGAACCTCAGGAACTTCACTATCGAAGGCTGGAACTTACCAGCAATTAGTCATTTAAATGACCAATCCCGGTACATTTAGGGGGGGGGGGGCTAATTTATATTGCCGTCCCTGTCGAGTTTCGAGTGGGGGGGGGGGGGGCTTTAGCCCCTGCCGCCCCCCCCCCTGGATCCGCCAGTGCCAACACAAGCACAACAAAAACTATATCAAGGGAAGTACCCGTTCCCCTAAAAAGCACATTTTGTGCGCCCTGACTCACCACTGAAGGCAGCTGGGGCCGGCGGCTCGGCGCCCTGACTCACCACTGAAGGCAGCTGGGGCCGGCGACTCGGCGCCCTGACTCACCATTGAAGACAGCTGGGGCCGGCGACTCGGCGCCCTGGCGGCTCAGGCGCCCTGACTCACCATTGAAGGCAGCTGGGGCCGGCGGCTCGGCGCCCTGGCGGCGCCGGATGTGCCCGTGGTGCGCCGCCTCGCCGCCGTCCACCTGGTCGCCATCGGACTGGTCGCACGCCGCGGCGCCCTCCTCGCCAAAGCGGCGGCGGTGCTCGCGCTCGTCCTCGTCCTCTGAGCTGCAGTGGTGGCGCCGCACCAGCTCGGCCGCGGCCGCACTGCGACTCAGCTGGTACCGCCGGCGCAGCAGCACGCTCTCGGCGGGCGCCGCCAGGCCGGCCGGCCGGCGCGGGATTGCCATGGGCCGCGTGGCCGGCCGGCCGGCCGGCACCTCGGCCATCTCCAGCTCGAACCGCACGGCATCGGCCGGCGACGGCGCATACCTGGCAGTTCGCACAGACAGACCATCACCATCCAAACAGGACGAAAGCCACAGCCACCGACAAGATTTTGCCCAACACGTCCCGAGTAGGTACCGAGTAGGGGAAGCCGGGGGAAGCCCGGGCGCGGGGAAGCCCGGCCACCCCGTTTCCGGCTAAATTATTCACAATAAAATGCTCAACTGTTTGTCCTTTCAGCGTGGCAGCTAAGGTAACGCCAGCAAAAAAGTTAAGACTGACAAAAATTGCATATTGTTAAAGTTATAGCGCAAAAATGATATTTTAAGGGTTTTTAGCTAAAAAGTGAGATATGTTGCACTGTTAACCCGCGCGGGGCTGGGGTCTCCAGCCGAACGCGCGGGGCTGGGGGGGGTAAATTTTACCCCCCCCCCCTGTTATCTCCCGAACTAATGGTCCGATTTGGAAAATTCAAACGCCAATCGAAAGCTCTCATCACGAACTAATAAAAACATGTACTTAATTTAAAGTTTGAGGTCAAGGTCAAGGTCAGGTCAAGGGTACAAATTGCAAGTTTCTACAGTATCGGCCTTGCACCGTAGTTGCCGAAGAATGGAGTCATGGACTGAGACTGATCGCCCAAAACGTGTTCTTAGGCTACCAAGACAATATCCGTTGCATACAATATCATTCAGAGGTCAAGGTCAAGGTCAGGTCAGGTCAGGTCAGGTCACCAAAAAACAAAATATAGAAAAGGGCATGTGCGACACATGTTTTATGGGTCATTTTACTCATAGGATTCAATAGGCACACTCAATAAGTGATATGGACCACCTCTGGATGAATTTCAGGTCGAGGTCAGGTCAAGGTCAGGTCAAGTGAGGTCAAATTTTAAAGTTGGCTGTTAAGGCCTAAAAAGGTGTCTATCTGATGCAGTTTTTCACGGCGAATCGAATGGTGCTATTTTTGTTTCCGTACGAGGTCTAGAACTTCCAAAAAAGCCATTTTTTCAAAAAAATTGTGTGTCGTGACGTCATAAAATTTTGAATAACTCCCACATTTTTGAACCGATTCTTCTAAAATTTGGTATGTAGGTGCACATAGACCACTTCGCTGACATATATTCCGTTTTTTTCGATAGACTCAAAATTTTGGATTTTATAATGATTTTCCCAGAAAAGTCAGTTTTTTGAAAAATTTAGGCCAAAATCCAAAATTTTCAAAAAAAAAACGAGATAACCATTTGATAGACAAAGTAAAATTACGTATAACCTTTTTTGTTACGTCTTGATTCCTTTAAAAATGAAGATGTTAGCGGCGTTTGAACTTTTGCCGTTTTTGAGGCGAAAATGGCGAACATGACGTCACTAAAACGTCAATTTCTCAATAAATTTCCGACGGATTTCGCTCAAATTTTCAGGGAACGTGTCAAATTGATGTAAGAAAAGGTACTGAAAGTGTGGCGGCGCTGCGCGCCGCCGTTTTTGAGATATCGCAAAAATTCGCGAGGGGGGGGGGTAAAATTTACCCCCCAGCCCCGCGCGGGTTAATGTTATACCATACAGTACTAATATTTATACAAATGTTATGTAAGGACCGTTTAAGTGTTTGTAGTGAGGGGTGACGAGGCAGGCTGGCTTGACATTTTTTCGAATATCGCTGTTCTAAAATAAAAATTAGCACATTGGGGTAACACCGGGCGAGTGGCCAAGCTTACCCCCAACCGAGAGCAATGCCACTAAACCACTGTTTCCATGAGATAATAGGTACTGAGCAGGTTTGGTTTACACCTAGATCAAAGATAAATTTCGAAAATAAACATGTTATCATAGACAAAGCCAGTCATGTCACGTAAGGTCAACTAGGGTCAAACTACGTTTTTGCAGATAACGCGACAGACAATGAAGCTAGAGCTTCAAAAAATGGTGTCGTTGTGTTCTTCTTCATCAGCCGAGTCGAATGATATGCAATATGATGCATTAAGGTAAAAAGAAAAATAAATTTTAAGGAATTTTGAAATACACATTTTTTGTCAATTTTGCATCACGATTTTCATCGACCTGTACTGTACATGTAGTAGACGCTAGCTAAAATACCAGTTATGACATAAACTCTAAGATGTCCAGAGCTAATCAGTACCTTAATATTTCACTTTCCGTTAATATTTGGAAAACACATAATGGTTTCATCAACTCGTTGCAGGTAAAGCGCTGGGGAGGTGGCCGGCGTTACCCCTATGCCGGGCTTACCCCAGAAAAATCAGCACTTTTTTAAAACTCGATTTTCTCAACCTTATACTTATTCCACGAAACCGAATTTTTGGGAAAACACGGCCAATGAACTTAGCTAGCTAGCAGGATATCAACATTTTATACAGCACGTATGGTATGTAATAAAAATGAAAAAGAGCTTACTATGCCGGGCTTCCCCCGGCTTCCCCTACGAGTAAAATGAGGTAAGAACGGGACAACAGTCCCTCAAGAAGCATTGCTCGGGTAAACGTCCAATATATGTACTAGGTCTGGATTTAGAAACTATCATGCTCGAAGATAAAAGCCAACCCTCGCAGGACAGTGAGGCAGGAGTTCCGGTAAGGAAATAGTTCTACGAAACTTGGTGAGAGTAGACTACTCGGAGTCCGGAGGTTCTGTTCTGACGAACGCAAAGAGGGGGTGATGCGGATTACATCACTGACGAACATCTCGAATGGGTTGAATAATACGTTGATACAAAAAAAAACTTAACTTCGAGAGAAGTGCATAGTAAAGCTCTCATAGGCTGAACAACTCCGACTTTTCGGCCGGGCGAGGGGTGGTGACTCGTTATGTATTGGAGGTCTTCAACGGCGGTTCTAGGCGAAAGTTTTGCGGGGGGGGGGGGGTCACAGGTCCACCGACATACCGGACCTGGTAGGGGGTAGGGAGCGTCGAGTAGTCCTGCAGCACACGTAGTCCTGCAGCACACGAGTGGCAGCGTGAGCCACCAGGACACGGAGGTGGTTTCAGGGCCGAGCGCACCAGCTGGTTCTTGATGGTCTGTTTGTTGGTCCAGGTCACTCCTAGGTTCTGTTGGCCACTCTTGTGTACGATGGCCTGTACGGTTTGGGCTAGCTTGTCATCGATGAAAGGTAGAAATCCCACCAAGGAATCCCACCAACAAGACAGAAGCTGCCACGAAGCGGATCATCAAGGAGACGCTTAAAGGCAAACTTGATGAGAATGTGATCCAAGCGCTCCTCCCACAAAGCTCACGAACTGCTGAATTATACGGACTGCCAAAAGATCATAAACCGGGCATTCCACTGCGCCCGATTGTGTCAGCGTGTGGTGACCCACTGGACAAAATATCCCAACTACTGGAGAGAATCCTCAGCCAACTCCTTCAGTTTATTCCAGCCCACTCAGCAACACGCAGAAACATCCCCTACAAAGAAGCGACTGAGAGTGCAAAACGTCTGCTCGAAATTCACCATCAAGACATCAACACCTTCGGCCTGGAAGTTACAGACATCATCCACCTTCTGAACCACTGCCTTTCCAACAACTTCTTGAGATTTGGCGAAAAATACTATCGCCAAACAAGCGGTATCGCCATGGGTAGTCGTGTGGCCCCACCGCTTGCTATCATCTTTATGGACAGCTTGGAACGGGACTTCAACACCAGTGCCTCACACAAACCCGACCTATACATGAGGTATATCGACGATGTACTCGGAGTGTGGACCCATGGCTCTGCCAATCTTCAAGAGTATTTCCGTCACATCAACGACGCACATCCATCGATCAAGTTCACCATCGAATCGACTGACAAGACGCCATCCATTCCCTTCTTGGACACCAGCATCACAGTCGAACCCACGGGAAAGTACACCACTGAGCTGTACATCAAGCCCACATCGGCTGGTATCATACTACACGCTGACTCGGCACACCCGTGGAAAACCAAGCGAGCTGTGCTGCACTCCCAAATACGACGTGCCATCAACATCTCCAGTGACAACAGCGCTCGTGAACGCAGCATAGAGAAAATCAAAGACCTGTTCCTGAACAACGGCTACAACATGCGCACCATCAGCAGAGCCACCAGTTGCTGCCAGACCTCAAGACCAAGACCAAGAAGACGAGCAACGCCGGTAACAAGGCTCGTGTTACCTTTCATCGATGACAAGCTAGCCCAAACCGTACAGGCCATCGTACACAAGAGTGGCCAACAGAACCTAGGAGTGACCTGGACCAACAAACAGACCATCAAGAACCAGCTGGTGCGCTCGGCCCTGAAACCACCTCCGTGTCCTGGTGGCTCACGCTGCCACTCGTGTGCTGCAGGACTACAGGGCCGGTGCCACAGTTCCGGAGTGGTATACCAACTTACCTGCACGCTGTGCAACCGGAGCTACATCGGCGAAACCGGACGTCACATACGACTTCGCTACAATGAACATCTACGGGACGCGAAGAACCACCGTATGGACTCGCCGTGGGGCGACCACTTCAGAGATGACCACCCTCGATGTCGCCCAGAGCCCCAACACATCGCGGCCAAGATCCTACAGACATGCAACACCAGCAGAGACAGAAAAATAGCAGAGTCGCTATGGATAAGGACATACCGACCAGCCCTAAACACCAACATCGCATCTTGGGCAGTTCTGTGATTAGTGTGAACTGTCAGACTGAGACGTGATAGATGTTGGGATAGTTGATATAGATAGACAAATTGAATTATAAGTGGAAAACAATGGGAACTTTTTTGGTTATATTACTTTAAGTTGGCTACACATGTGTTTCGATATACATCTTTTTCAAGCCATAAAGACAAAATAAAATGTAAATAATTCGCCTAAACATCAAAGTTGTCAAAATAGTTTGCGGCACAGATTAAAATTCAAATAGCAATGCTTCACACCCGTCGCTTCTCACTTTGCACTTCTAGTTTTTAGATCGTGCAAAATAAGTTCAGCCGTAAATCTGCTCAGTTTCACTTTTCCTGCATTACCATTTAGATTGTCAAAGATGTGAATATAAGCTGCTTCTACAGCCTGCCTATGCTTCTTTGTCAAACCCCTACTTAACACAGACATATCATCCCAGTTGGGGAGATGTCCCGCCTCATCTACGTGTTGCACAAGGGCGTTGGACAGACGGTGGTACCTAAGGTCACTCTTATGCTCCTTTTGCCTGGTTTTAATGCCCCTGTATGTTTCACCGACGTAACATTTATCACATGCACCACAAGGAATTTTGTAAACGACACTATCCTCATTAGTAGAACCTTTCTTCTTCGTTTGCACAAGGTTTTTAATGGTCAGGCCCGCTGGGGATGAAATATTGATAGTTTCCCTTACAAAATTGTCCACAGTTTCTACTTCTTTTGATGCTGGGACTGAGAGATACCTCCTCTTGCTATTCCTTGTGGCGTTTGAAGCTCTAGCTCGTATTTTGACGGCCCTCTTCTCTAGCTGACATAAAAGACCTGGCGGGTACTTGAGTCCAATAAATACTTCTTTAATGTAGTTCAGCTCGTCCCTGATAAATTCTTCTGAGCAAATGCGAAGTGCTCGAAGATAAAATCCCAGCACGACTCCAGTTCGCGGTTCGTGCAGAACCGAGCAGCCAGAGACTCGGGTTGCCCACTCGGGAAAAGCCCACCAACAAGAATGACCTGATACACTTCTACTCGGCGCACAGCAGTCGAACAAAAACTGGAGTCGTGCTGGGATTTTATCTTCGAGCACTTCGCATTTGCTCAGAAGAATTTATCAGGGACGAGCTGAACTACATTAAAGAAGTATTTATTGGACTCAAGTACCCGCCAGGTCTTTTATGTCAGCTAGAGAAGAGGGCCGTCAAAATACGAGCTAGAGCTTCAAACGCCACAAGGAATAGCAAGAGGAGGTATCTCTCAGTCCCAGCATCAAAAGAAGTAGAAACTGTGGACAATTTTGTAAGGGAAACTATCAATATTTCATCCCCAGCGGGCCTGACCATTAAAAACCTTGTGCAAACGAAGAAGAAAGGTTCTACTAATGAGGATAGTGTCGTTTACAAAATTCCTTGTGGTGCATGTGATAAATGTTACGTCGGTGAAACATACAGGGGCATTAAAACCAGGCAAAAGGAGCATAAGAGTGACCTTAGGTACCACCGTCTGTCCAACGCCCTTGTGCAACACGTAGATGAGGCGGGACATCTCCCCAACTGGGATGATATGTCTGTGTTAAGTAGGGGTTTGACAAAGAAGCATAGGCAGGCTGTAGAAGCAGCTTATATTCACATCTTTGACAATCTAAATGGTAATGCAGGAAAAGTGAAACTGAGCAGATTTACGGCTGAACTTATTTTGCACGATCTAAAAACTAGAAGTGCAAAGTGAGAAGCGACGGGTGTGAAGCATTGCTATTTGAATTTTAATCTGTGCCGCAAACTATTTTGACAACTTTGATGTTTAGGCGAATTATTTACATTTTATTTTGTCTTTATGGCTTGAAAAAGATGTATATCGAAACACATGTGTAGCCAACTTAAAGTAATATAACCAAAAACGTTCCCATTGTTTTCCACTTATAATTCATGTTGGGATAGCCTCATGACTGTTAGATCTTTTGGCTTTTGAGATGCTTAGTTAGATGTTTTATTAAATGCCGATGTTTGAATGAATCATTGAATGGTTGATTATAGGTATGATTAAATGGAATATTGAATGGTTGATTGATAGATGGTTGAATGGACGACTGTGGGTCTGATTGATTTAATGGTTGAAGGGTTGCTTGATTGGATGATAAAATCGTTGTTTGTTTGATTGAATGACTGCTTGATTGTATGATAAAACGTTTGATTGAATGATTTGGAATGGATATTTGAATGGTTTGTCGACTCCATGACTGAATGTAATGGGTGTAACTAGTTGATTGAACAATTGGATGAATGGCTAGTTTGTTGGCTAGACAATCGATCTATCGAGTAGTTGGTTGTGTACACCTTGCATGTTAGTTGTAATTATATTGTGTGTTTCTAAGATGACTAGCATAGTTATTCGTTGGGTCACAAGTGATCTCATACAGTTGTATTTGGTTACGCTACCTTATGTATACCTGTTATTTTAGTCTTGCGTTGATTAAAAGAGGCCGTTCTACTTATATTGATATGGCACGAGAATGTGACTAATATTCGTTGGTGGGATCAGTGTATTCGGCGCTTTTGTGACGTTCAATTATTTGTACATTTCTGTGGCTTGTATAGTTAACTTTTTGAACTGAAGAAGGAATGTTTCCGAAATATATTCATTGATTTAAGGCTAATTTTTGGATTGTTTAAAGATAGTGAGCATAAGGTTATTCTTCTACGATATTCAATAATGCTGCTCATTTTAGTACTTCGCCATCTTATTACACTTTTTGAGTTATATTGCATTACATTTTTTCACTTCGGTATGTAACGGTGAGTTTGATGGCCTAGGTATAACTCAAGAACGGGTTAAGCAACCAACAAAAAGTAAACAACACTAAGCTTGCGATGAATCAAAAATTAATATTACTCAAGTTATTAATATTACTCATTAAATATTACTATTTAAAAATTCCAAAGAGAAAATTTCATTGTTGAGCAAAAGCCTTAAGCTTTTTTCATTTGCCTCTAATGACTTTTGGGACCAAAATTTTTCACATTTTTACTTTTTCAAAATAATCTTCATGTCATTGCAAATCGACATGCAAAAAATTAGAAAGGTGTTCTTTCTATAAGTTCCTCATTTTCCCGCAAACAAAATGGGTTTCGGAGGGGTTGATACGACCCCAGCACGCCGTTTCGCTATAATAGAGCTAGAGCCTCGCGGAAAAAACGAGCGTGTGTGCCGTTACAAGTCGCAGCGATTGGTACCCGATTTTAAGGTCTCAGGTTAACCGGTAGCGTCAGGTCAGGTCACGTGACTGAAGTTACGGGTTCGGTTTTTAGTAAATAACTTCGCAAAAAATGGCCGCAGAGCCGCGATTTTGGCATCATTGTGTTGGTCTAGTCAAGGTGCATCGAATGGTATACTTTTTGCTAGGGTGAAGTCAACTTAAGTAGTTGACCTCGGGTCAAGGTCAGGTCAGAGCCCCTCAGGTCACGAAGCTGGGCAAAGGGTATCATATGGCATATCATTCGATTCGGAAGGTCTTCCCGAGTCCATTGGTGGCTTTCCCGACTCTCTAGCTTGATTTGATCGGGAGTTATTGACGAAAAACTCGTACGACCCTAGTGACGTCATAAATGACGTCACGCAAGGTTAACAATGCAAAAGTAAAGCATTGGACTTTGCAAGGAGTGCATGAAATCACGATACCATGTACGTGGGATAGTTTTAGATCATTCTCGGCGCCAAAATAACAGTTTTTATATTTCCCCATTGATTTATACCAGTGATGTCACGTGACCGACCTGACCTCATGTAACCTTGAAAAATTCCCAGATATACAAGTTGTGAGACCTCTGGAGGACACCATGTAGGTATGCGTCCTGTAACTTTCATCTCGGACAGCTATGGTCATTGGCGTCCAAAACAATGTCAGAACCAAGCAGCCTTTTCACCCTCGCGCTTATAGGAAAGAGGGTTGAATGAACGGTGAACCCTCTTTTCACTTTTTCTGATGACTCAGACTTGAATTGAAATTTCAGTAACCCGTGATGTCACTAGGCAGCTTTACCACGCCATTTGTAAGCTCCCCTCCCGAAATCACTATTCGAAACCGTTATCGTGACGTAAAATAAATACATTTATAGAAAGAACACCTCCCTAATTTTTTGCATACTTCTTAACAACGAGCCAAATATCTTTTTAAAGAAATAAAAATTCAAAAAAATTTGGTCCCAAAGTCCAAAAAATACAAATGAAAGAAAACTCGATGTCATATATCAAAAATAGCGTATTTTTCGAAATTTCAAAAATACATATTAATCTCTGTTTCATTGCAAGTTCAATGTTATATAACATTTGGCATTTGAATAATCCGTCTTAAGCCCGGTTCCGACTATGAGATTGCTTCAGGCCACATCAGGCCACATCAGGCCAGATCAGGCCCAATCAGGCGTTCAGGCCAAAGTTGAACGTCGGACGCTCGGCCTGATCAGACCGTATGGGACGCCAGACGCCAGACGTCAGGCGTCAGGCCTTCGGTCTGCCTCACCAAATATCTTTTAAATGTGTGCGTGTTTTTTTTTTACCAGCGAGAGCGAATTGCGATTTTCTAAATAGCTTACAAGTCTGAGCATGAGCAGCCCGGCCCGGTTTGGCGCAGCTCGTAACAGGGCCTCGGCTAAGGAATTTTGACTGGTGGGCCACTTGGGCAGCGACATGGACTGACCTTCGTAGCCATAGCCCCCCCCCATTTCGATTTCTCCCCAGATTTCGGCCACTGCAAAAAACGTCAGGATGGCATAAAAAATGTAAAAAAATACGGGGCTCGACCCCCCCCCCCCCCCCCCGACTCTTCAGAGAGAGAAGAGAGAGTAGGGACTAGTGATGTCAATTTCAGAAAACATGTGTCCAATGTCCGTCCAATGTCCAATGCTGGCGTCGATTGTCCGTCCAAAAATATCCAAGCCAGCCATTTGTCCAAAGATGTCCGACATTTGTGCAATAGTTTACACTCAACACCGTTATTTAATTTGCTGTTAATGTATCGTTACCAGCTCTCAAAAGTGTTAATCATATCGAAAGCTGGGCTTTTTAATAGCCAATCAATGTTAAACACGATAATTTTATGAAAATGTTGAGGTGTAGCAAGCGATTGTCCAAAGTTGTCCAAAGCCTGTTGTCATTGTCCAACCGAATTCCGAATTGGACATTGGACAAAAGGAATTCCGAAGATTCAAGTTCCGATTGACACCACTAGTAGGGACCCACAACCCTCTCAGTGGTGATACTCCGGCGGTGCACATAAAATCGCACAAGTATGCACAAAATATTGACGCGGATTATAAAACTTTGGACGATAACTTACGGCCGGTCGGATGTTAAAAATCAGCGAGCCCTGAATGGATCGCTCGCCGACTAGTCGGAGATTCGGAAGCGGTCGGACGGGATCGGGCGTTGTCGGGTGGATCGGGAGGAATTGTGAACAGCACAAGTGCAACTTTATATATAAAGTGGGTTGTAGCAACTAGCAGGAACCCCAAAAAGGGGTTGTAGCAGGAACCCCAAAAGAGGGTTGTAGCAGCAACCCCAACATCTCTGAAGATGATCATTAAGCCTATTGGTGTCGCATGGAAAAGAATTCACTCAAAAGCCCAAGCGCACTGCGCAACCCTAATATTAAAAAAAAAAACTAAGTTATGTACACTTCTGGTGAACAGTGTCCCAACTTCAGATTTCTCTTGGGTGTCTGAGTGGAAAATTCTAGCCACCCAAAATGTGAGAGTGGAAAATTATCCATTCTTATTCTTGAGTGTCATCTTCAGCCCAAATGAGAAATTTTTGGAACGCTGACTGTGAACGGTTCGAAATTCGTCCAACTGGTGATGGTCAGATGTGCGACTGCAAGCATCATACCGTTCGTGAAGACGCATAATATCGCTCATGTTATACACCATATCAAAAAATTATACTATATAATATCGCTTGCAGACTTCAATCGGCTGGAAGTTGCCGACACTACCTCTAGTTTGACTCTGGCTTAAGGCCGTGTTACACTGCCGAATTTTGGCCACGACCCTGTCGCCGAATCACGTCGTGTAGGAAATCGGCGAACAGTTCACCGACAGAGGCGAACGGTTCGCCGACAGAGCCCGATTTGCAGACAACGGGTGGGGGGCCCCCCTAATCGTGCGCGGGTCGAAGCTGATCCATGATTCGGCGAACATCGCGAATGAATGGCGAATCTGTTGCGAATAGTCGGCGATACCTTGGCAACAAGTCGGCGCACGTAGCGACATGTCGGCGGTGACTCGGCGAGTGTTTGGCGATCATGTTCGTTTATTATAAGCTCGGCGAACGGCCACGAAATTTTCATTTTTCATGAAATATTCGTGGCGGTCGTGACGAACCGTAAAAGTCGCGCGGTGGGCACCGACTGGTCTGCGAAATGCCAAGACCGTGGAAGAAAGATCCCGAATCGATCCGCGATATAGGATGACTTGCATATTCGTGCACATTCGTGTACCAAAATTCGGCAGTGTAACAAGGGCTTTACATCGTGTCTATCGGCGAGCCGTCTGAGATCGCTCGCAGGCTTATCCCCGACCGTCTGAACTGATCTGTTCTTTATTCGTAGTTTTTCTTGTAACCGACTGGTCTGCGGCAGATGCTTAGGTGACTGTAACCACTCGATCGATCGGAAAGCTTGCAAGAACTCTCGCAGACCTCGATCAGCTGGAAGCCGCCGACACTATCTGTAATTGACAGAGGCAAACGTCTTTCACGATTATTGCATAAAATTTAAAGCCTCGGTCACACTTAAACGGATTGGACCAACGGACGAGAAACGGACGAGAACTGTCAGCGTCCGGTGATGTCCGTTTGTTTCCGTTGGACGTCCGTTTGTCATCCTTTAATATCAGTTCCATGTCCGGTGGTGTCCGGTTGAGCACACCGGACACCACCGGACATGGAACAGATATTAACGGATGAGAAACGGACGTCCAACGGAAACGAACGGACATCCCCCGGACATCAACGGACGCCGTCCGTTTCTCGTCCTTTGGTCCAATCCTGCAGGATTGGACCTCCTGTCACACTTCACATGTGAAGTGTGACCGGGGCTTAACCTACGGCTGTCTCAAGAAACCAGGAATGGTGATGGTATTATGCGGGCAACGACGATCAAGTTCTTACTTTTAATAAATGCAACAATGTAGTAGGGCCTCTGTCTCTGTCTGTATCACAATGTTACCTAGGTATGTCGTGATGTAAAATGTGAAAACTTCGATTTTTCAGAAAATTACTGGTGGGCCAAATCTTTGAGGCTGGTGGGC